TCTGGAATTCTTGTCTGAGTTTCTCCTCTTTTTCGCTGGACCTACTAGCATGTGTTGTCAGGGTGATAGGCTGGATGTTTGTAGATCCTTGTAGTCTCCCCTGTGTGACCGGCCAACAAATGCAGACTCTGCCATGGTGGGTCGGCTACGACGACTGTTTCGATGGAGTGGCCTGTGGGTTTGTCCCAGTGGGGTGCATATGATGGGGGGTCTTGGCCTACCAGTCACAGCACTCCACACAGCTGGCGGTGCCAGCGTTTTTTCCGCCATCGCTGCACATCCTGTTTGGCTTGTTCTGCTTCCGCGTAAGTCTTCCTAAGATTATTGCCCCCCTTTTGGTTGATGGTGGTAGCTGTCTCGGAGTCTGAGCGGTTCCCCCCTGATATGGTATGTATTTGGGGGTCTGCCTGGGGCTGTGCAGAGGGACTCTGTGTGCTGCTGCTGTCCCGGTGGTCGACTCATCCCTGTCTGGTAACGGGTCCCTACGGTTGGGGGTGGCTGGGAGGTTCTCCCATCTGGGCCCTGTTCCCTACCAGCAGGGAAACAGAGTTCAGGATCAGCTAGGAAAGTGTCCTTTCAGTCTTCCAATTTTGCTTCTACAAATCCAATGCCAGGTGATCTGCTTAAGTGCAAAGCTTGGACTGCTATGTCCACCAAGCCTGAACCCAAGTCCTCCACTCTTATAGGTTGGGGGACGCTTGATGATGTTTTCAACCTTTTAGATTCAGGAGGTCCAAGATCTCTATGCTCAGTGGTTACGGGCTGGAATATTTATCATTCCCTCACCTTGTTTAATGTTCTCCAACCTTCCTGTGCCTCCTTTGAAGGCAAAGGCCTTGTAGAAGTCTCTTTTGCAGCTCCTTATAGGGTTTTTTTCCCCCCTTCCTCTGGATCAACAGGGGGTAGCTGTGGGCATAGCGTTCTGTTTAGGCTTTTCTTCTCTTTGGTTTTTTTCTCCGTATCTATAGGTTGAACTTGATGGACTTGTGTCTTTTTTCAACCTGACTGACTATGTAACTACGTAACTAACCTTGGGGGTAGTCACTTCAGTCCCACCCCAGAAAAGATTTTAGGGTTTTTATTCTAATCTATTTACGGTTCTCAAGCCAAATGGGAGAATATGCCACATTCTAGATCTAAAAAGCATAAATAAATTCCTGGCTGTTCACAAGTTTTGTATGAAATCCATCAGTTCTGTCATTGCTTCTTTGCAGGAGAGGGACTCTAGACACTGACAGTGCTAGAGTATTCCTCCCTTCAGTCCCAGGCACACCCCTTAGTGTGGACATGATGGTTTACTCCCTCAAGGCAGTTCCATTCGCTCAGGCTCTTCAAAGCAATTCTATTTGCTCCTGCAGCTGAACATCTTTACTAAGTGGGGCAAGCAGCCTCACTCGCTGGATCAGCAAAAGCAAGACTTTCAATGAAGTGGTGGCTATCTAGTCCGGCATTGAATGCAGGGAATTAATTCGGTCTTATACAGTGAACAGTTCTAACAACGGATGACAGTCTTTTGGGTTGAGGAGGAGCTCTCCGTCTGTCAGTGCAGGGGACATGAAGAAGGGGACCACAGGAGTCAGCATTATCCATCAGTGTGCTGGAATTGAGAGCAATCTGTCTCTCTCTCCATCACTGCTCTCGCCATCACCAGAGAAAGCTGACAAGGGTCCAGTCTGACCATGCCACAGCAGTGGCTTACATCAATCATCAGGGGATACGAGCAGTTTTGCGGTCCAAAAGGAAGCTGAAAAGATTTTGGAATTGGCTTCCTGTGGTGGCTCTGTCAGCCGTATACATTCCTACGCTGGAAAATGTATGTATTTTCTCGGTCAATAGCGAGATTCAACAATAAGCTGGACAGGTTTGTATCAGAACCAGGGATTGCAGGGCCTTTTGCAGTGCATGTGCTAATAGTGTGTAATCAGTTTCCACTGATCTACGCCTTACCTCTGTTTAAGATTCTGCCTCTTCTCCTTTGCAGGATAGCCTTGGATGGTATCCCGGTGATACTGGTAGCCCCCAGTTGGCCCAGGAAGGTATGGAGCACAGACATCCTTCGGCTGTCCATAGGGACTCTCTGGGGACTTCTAAATCGACTGGACCTTCTGTCACTTAGACCAGTATTCCATCCTGCTTCTCAGTCACTATCTTTGATGGCACGACTGTTGAAGCCCAGAATCTTACGGGATAGAAGCCACTTTGAGGGTATATTACCAGAGGTGGAAGCTGTATTTTGCTTGATGCGAGAAGCAAAATTTGAATCCTCCATCAGACTCCCTTTAATAGATTCCTGGCTTTTCTCCATTCAGAATTGGACCAGTGATTAGCCTTGAGCACTATCAAGGGCCAGATTTCGGCTCTAGTTATTCTATTTTATTAGCCCTGGGCCTCTCATTCCCTGGTTAAGGCTTTCATACAGGATGTAGCTCACATAGTCTTCCAAGACATCCTCCAATGTCTCTGTGGGATCTCAAATTAGCCCTTTCCTTCATGCAAGCCTATGGAAAATATTGCCATGGAGGACCTTACATGTAAGGTTGTGTTTCATGTAGCAATTACTTCTGCTAGGAGGGTCTCCGAGCTGGCAGTCCTATCCTGTAAACAACCTTTACTTGTTATGTATCAAGAAAAAGTAGTGCTTAAGCCTAAGTATTATTTTCTGTCTAAAATAGTATCATCCTTTCATCTTAATCAGGACATTCTGCCTTCCTTTTATTCCCACCCCAAAGGATCCAAGGGAAGTCACTGCATTGTTTGGACGTTGTGCAGGTGATTCCAGTCTATAGCGATACCACATCTTCATTCAGGTTAATTGGATTATTTGTTTATTCGTCCAGAAGGGCCACGCAAGGGATAGCCTGCTTCTTGGTCCACAATATCTCGTTGGATTAGACAGGTCATTCTTCATGCTTACTCTAGTAAGGATGTGACCCCGTCCTTCCCAGTTAAGGCTCACTTTACTAGAACTGTAAGTACCTCATGCTTTTTGTCATCAGGCATCTGCCATGTAGATTTGTACGGCATCCACCTGGTCTTCAGTTCATACATTTACTAGGTTTTACAAAATGGAAGTTCAGGCATCAGGTGATGCTAATTTTCTTTATAAAGTCCTTCAGGCGGCCAATTAGTTTTTTTTGTTATATTTTTATTGTTCTTATTATTTCATATCAACACAATTATACCAATTTCATAAAACTTTAGACAACTCTTTGTTATTGCATTTCATAAGAAAAAAAAACATTCTAATCGACATCTAAAACATGGCTTCACTATCATTCATTGCCAGATCAATCCTATTACAATCCCTCCTCACTCCTAACTCAACATTCTCTCCTCTATTCTCTTTCTCGCCTTCCATCCCTGTCTCATATCGTCTTCTGAGACGGGGAACCACCTTATGTGTGTTATATTTTACCTCTTCCTTGATATTCCATTTTGTTATTATTATCTCTACCCTCCTATACATTTATCTTTCACTCTAGTCGTGTGTTATCTTGTGTGTGATCTCATACTGCAAGTCCATATACAATAACTTCTACTTGTTTATGATGCACACCCTTTCCTACCCTGTTCATACGTTTAGTTGTGTTATACAATTCCGTGCTGCAAATCTATATATGCACACATCTAATTATATGGTGAAACCCCTTTTATTCCGCGGCCAATTAGTTTGAAAAGGGGTGAGGTCTGTTCCCCACCCCTCTAATTATTGATTTTAGATGTCCCAGTCATCTTGATTCAGCCTGTGTCCCATATTGTACAGTCAAGAACATAGGATTTTTGACTTGCCTGTAAAATCCTTTTCTTAGAGTACAGTACAGGACACGTGGCATTCCCCTATGTGTCTCCTATTGCTTGCAAAATAACGGAGGATATCCTGTTGTAGAAAGAGTTATATAGGCTCCACCAGCTCTGGCCAATGTCCAGTCACCTGAGGATACTGCCATATACCCTGTCGTCTTTATTTAGCCTGTGTCCTGTACTGTACTCAAGAAAAAGATTTTACAGGTAAGTCAAAAATTCTATGTTTTTGCACATTTCTCCTGAAGACTCTTCATGCAAGATTCTCTATGCCTTGGCTGACCATACCTGCACCCCACCAAAAGGAAGACTTTACTGCATATGCACAACCTTCTTGCAGTTTGTTGCTGTGAAGCCCACAACTCTGTTAGACTGCTTTTGGACATCCCATCATTTCCAGAACTAAACTCCCTGTGATGTACCGTCAAGAAAACAGGATTTTTGTCTTAATTGTACAATCCATTTCTTAGCAAATGCCACCAGACACAGGACCCTTCTCTCTTGTTTTCTAGGATCCACTCCTGTATTGCTTGTTGCAAAACTCAGGCAGACTTTGAGTGGGAGGGGTTATACAGGGATGTCATAACAGCTTTGATAACTCATCCATTCTAAAATTAAATTCCCTGTGTCCTGTGATATACTCCAAGAAATTGATTTTTACAGGTAAGATAAAAATCCTGTTTTGTTTTTGTTTTTTTTAAATATTACAGTATTGTTTTTTTTTTAACACCTTCAAACAGAATGTTTGGAAGAGGTCTCTTCAAATAATACCACAATTCCTTTCTGCATGCAGCCCCATATACATTTTGACATAGTACTGTTGCACATAATTCAGGAGCAAAAGTGATGACTTCCTGCTTTGCACAGGTATGATGCATAGTAGGCCAGTGCTTATAAGCAGAGGGTGCAAGAAGGTGGATTTTCCCTGTAAAGTAATTGATTACACATTTTCCCATCATCAGCAAAAATAGATCTCACAAATACATTTATTTACACATTTTCACATTATTCTAAACCAGATTAGGGCCAGTAAAACAAGATAATGCTCTGTGTAAAATAAGTTACAGGGGTGCAGCTTTTTATTGCACCCTCCAATCCCCTTATGGGTTATATATTGTTCTAAGATCTTTGGTAATATTTAATATTAATTATAAAATTCCTTACATGTTGCTTTCTTTTTTTTTTCTTTTGTCACATAGGATCTACAGTTAGACTACGGCCAAGGTCCACAGAGTGACTATTTTCTTGGGGGAAACAAGTGAGTTGCCGTAAAAGGCTATGGATCTATACTCTGCGTCTTGAATATATTTATAGCCTATTTCTGCTTGTACATTAAATACATTTCAGCGCACCCCTTCCCCCAGCATAATGCTTGTTTAACCAGTCAAGGATGTAAAACAGTGGAATACTTGCCTTATTCTATCATCCTACAGTCTTCCTGTATGGGAAGAGAAACTGCTTTGGAAAACTCCCAGCCGAAACCAGATTCGGCTGGGAGTTTTCCAAAGCAGTTTCTCTTCCCATTCTCTGACCGGTCTTGTTGCCTCTTCTCCCCTCCCTCATGTTATCATGCACAGTGCAGGACCAGCAGCCACCACTGGTCCTGCATTGTGCATGGTGATGTAGGAGTGCCCGCCTACAAAGTAATTACGCCTCTGTATTATAAAACAAGTTTTTGGGATCAGCCCTAAAACGTACAGACCATTGGATGAATTATGCTTAAATATGATGACTGATATAATTATTTATGGACATTGTTGTAATGAAATTGATGCTAAGAATATGAATTATTATCATGTATATTACAAATCTGTACGGGTTCCAGGTGTTTGCCGTTTATATGTATTATTACCTTGAATTGTAGATGAGCGTGGTATGTCGCTTTTTATATTTGCTAATCATGAAATTATCTTATTAAATATGAGTTTTATTGTATTGATGATCTACGTGACATTGTTTAGTTATGTCCCTTTGCATTATCTAAAAGTCACCTTAAAAGCCCAATTTTCTAGTTGGTATGTATGCCTCTGTATTACATCAACCCCTAGTAAAATAAGCATTATATTTTGTCTGTACTCTGCTGGCAGATCTCATTATCAATTGAAAACTAGATTTGAACAATGTCTGTCCTAACAAAGGGTTAAAGATCTAGCAGTATTGTATGTTATTGAGGGAAAGCTCAGTCTGTCCCTAGTGCTTCTATGGGGACAGCCAGAGTTTCCTGTTACATTAGAAATTGAGAGATAAGGCCTGCTACACAGACGCATCTAAAAGGAAATATAAAAATAAATATTTTTTAAAATATTTTTAGGTATGCTGTGTGAATAGGAACACATAACAAACATTTAGTGGGTGTTTTTCAAATGTGACTACAAAAGCAAATGCACTTTTTTTTTTTTACACTTAATTTTATTGCTATTTCAACATACAGGCAATGCGCAAGTGTCTGTACGGCAAGTGTACGGACACGTCGCCAGGAGACGAGCATCATCATCCCGCGCAGGTGGAGAACGCTTGTCTTATGACGCTAATTACCACAAAGAAGTTGGCCACCGAACGGAAACCTTATTACCAGTGGCCACCTTGCACATGCTCAGTACATCTTCACTACCACAAACAAAATGACTACCGGCACTGAGGTTTATTGGTGGCCATCTTCATTGTGGGAGCAGTGACGTACTGCGCATGAGCGGTGCATCCCTGCACACAAAGATGACAGCTACAGTGCGTACCGGTTCCTTTTTGCCCAGAAAAAAAGCACTGGTTGCGCCACACAAAGGCATTAGAAGAGAGGCCATGAGTAGTCACTGTCATTGAAATAGGTGCATGATCAGACCAAATAATTTGGTGGATAGTAGAATCAGTAACCTGTTGGAGAAGACGTCTGTCAGAAAGAGGTCAATTCTAGAATTCTAGAGTAGGAATTATGCGGAGTAGAGTAAAAGGTATAGTCTTTTTCAGAGGCATGAAGACCGTGCCAAGCATCATAGAAAGCTTCTCGGGGAAGTAGCTGGTGAAATGAAAGGGATATCCTTCTGAGGTAGTTGGATGAGTCTACAGAGGGATCAGGTGTAAGATTGAAATCAGCACAAAGCAACCTATAACCCTGGTGGACTTGAGAAATTATCTTGAGGTTTTTCTTTAAAAAAGCAAATGTAGTGGGAGTTAGGGGTGTAAAGGTTGACAATAGTGTATACTAATCAATAGAACAGGTCAAAATCAGCTAGCGACCATTAGAGTCAACAATATGGTCAATACAGGTGAATGCAACAGAGTCTATACTCGCTATGAGAATACCTCTAGACTTAGTCATAGAGGGGGCTGAGTAAATATTGGGAAAAGATCTATGCATTTTGGAGCTTTGTTGCTTTGGAAATGAGTCACTTGGATGCAAAGAATATCCAAACCAAGGGTAATAGCCTCCCTCCACATACTGTATCTTTTGGCAGGATGATTGAGTCCTCTTGCATTCAAAGAGACAAATTTCAGGGCCATACAGGATTCAATACAAAAAGAGAGCAATACTGAGGCATACTGTAGAGATATGATCTGTTCATAATTAAGTTGAGTAACAATAGTGAGGTAGTTCAGGTAACTGCTTAGAGGATTCCGAATAAGGGTGTCTCATAAGTTTTCTTTACATCGTTTGGCTAAAAAAGGAGAAAACCAACAGGAAAAAACACTTGACAACAACAGAAGCAATAAAAATATAATGAGCTCAGATGGGGAGAGATCAGGCAATAGTGTACTAAGCAGGGTTTGAGCATATTGTTGCAAGTCTTCCAAGGCCATTGACTCTGGGATACCACAGATTTTGAGATTGTTTTGCTGCGAGCGGTCTTCAAGATCTGCAATTATAACTTTGATCCAGTGCAGATCATCCGCTCTGTCATTATGAGAGTCTACCAGCTCAATAAATGTGGCAGGAAACTCCAGCATTTTGTATTCGATATGAGAGACCCTGTCGCCCACCCTATTTAAATTGATGCATGAGAGATTGCACGTCAGCATGGAGCAAGCTCCACGAAGAAATAAGCATGTCTTTCAGGGTGACATCTGGAACTGGCTGATCTGTGGTGGGAAAGTCATCACTCTTTTCCACCAATTATCTGATATCTTCAATATATGAATTAAGAGAGCTCACCTTGTGCTAGGCCTCAGGTGAAGACAATTTCCGCGGTCTGGATTTAGCAGGACTGCGATCAATAGGTGTGGTGGCTTGAGGAGATAGGAAAGAAGAGAATGCATGAGGCAGGCTGCGTGGTGACAAGCCTGCAAGAGACCTGCGTGTCCATTCACCCAATCCACTAGATGAGGAACACGGTGAGGTCCCAGCGCCATCTTGGGCCTACTGCTGAGCCAATGTGGAGAAGAACTTTGTGAGTTTCTTAGGGCAGGAGTTCTTTCTCCTCTTCCTTGTCATTCCTGCGGGTGAAGGAGAGGCTCTCCGATGCCGTTTTGAGACCCAAATGAGGGAGTTACAGAAAAAACATGTAAACAGCGCTCTCGGATGGGCAAAAAGTTAGCTTAGAGGCGTGTATGCAGCCCTGGAAAACAGGAGGAGAACCTGTGAAATGCAAATGTTCAAGAAACCAAGAAAGGGCGCAGAGAACACTGGCTAGCTAACGAAGTAGTAATGAAGACTGAAGGTGGTGGCACTTAAGTGCCGTAGGGGGTCTGTGTTCGCCTATTCTTTTTCTGAGGGTACGAGTGGTGCGTCCAATATATAGTAAGCCGCAAGGGCACTTCAGCCCTCCAACCAAGGTCCTGCCCCTTTCCCTACATATCTGTCTCCTATGGCTTTTATGCACATCAAGCTACTAAATATATGCCCGGTCCCGACCACTCCGCTCTCAATTTCAAACCGCGGGATTACCGCTTACCACCACTAGCTCCGCCCATCTGTCACTTTTTTAAACCCGGCCTATTCCCGCCATCATCTCACTGTTTTACCCGAGCTTGAAAAAGAGGCAAGACCTCGAAACGCGTCGCTCTTGTCCGCTTTGATCCCTCTCCACCTCACCATCAACTTGATCTTCGGCATCTGACAGCTGCTTCCGTACACCGTCCCCAGCAGACCTGACAGAGACCGCTCGCTGACACACACAGCCACGGCTGCCACAGCCCTATCCAATACCCGGCTCCTGTCTGATTTGATCCCTCTCCAACACGCCATTGGATTCGATCTTCGGCATCTGTCAGCTGCTTCTGCACACTGTCCCCAGCAGACCTGACAGTTACCGCCCGCTGACACACACAGCTGCTACAGCCCTGTCCATTGCCCGCTGTCCATTGCCGACACCACAGCGATCTCCCTGCCTCTTCTCCACACCGCACAGACCCCCTACGGCACTTCGGACGAAGTCCCCTCTTCTTGTCTACACTCTCCCGTGGATGCACCTCTTGGATCAACACATCGATTACAGTCGGAACCACACCACGAGTGCCCCGATCCTCCATACCGGCCGTCCATCTCCAGATCCTGGCAATCACGCGTAAGTGCCACCACCTTCAGTCTTCATTACTACTTCGTTAGCTAGCCAGTGTTCTCTGCGCCCTTTCTTGGTTTCTTGAACAAATGAGGGCGTTAGTGTGCCTCAAGGACAGCCACTGCCCAGAGCCCTAGCAGTCTGCTGCCATTCAGAACAAACGCCAGTCACGCCCCCCTTCACTTTACCTTTAAAATAAATGTATTTAATGGTTTATTAATGAATGTAAGTGCATAATTTGCTTCTTTATCTGCCTGAAATTCAAATTAAAGCCTAAATTCAGCTTTAGGTTTACTAATTGTTTAAAGTGGGCTGCCTACTCAATTTAGAGTTTGGAATGAAGTTAAAGTTGAACTTTAGCCTTACACTGAAAAACTGTTGTCAGCTAAGCTTTTATTGCAGAAGAGACTTTGTTCTGCATTTAAAGCTCCTCTCCTGCCTGCCAGGAATGTTCTTCCTAAATGCACACTGAGCAATAAGTGCAGCTGAGTATGCATTACTTTTATGGCTTGAGTGCCACCTATAAACAGAAGTTCAACAGGCCGACGTCACTGAACCTAGTAGAAGACCGATTGAAGTTGTCAATGGTGGGGGAGTAAGCTTGAGGACATCACATCACTGAATAAGAGGTAAGAATAGCGCACTTTAATGGGAAACTCCAGTTTTCAGGACTTCACTTACTTAAGTTAGCAGATAGTGAGCGGAGTCCCATCCTTGATCTTCCAATCACTTGTAATTGTACTTGGAAGGCAACATCACACAGACAATTTCAGTCTCACCCCACAATTATTTACACGCCCCTCTGTAACAATCCAGTTGCAAGACAATAATACAAACAAGGTGCAATTAGTTATTATACTCATTTGGTCCCAATGCAGTTGCCCCCTCAATTATGCAATTACATTTAGTGCAGCTGCTCTTCGCCTATACACTGTGTAGAGTAATGGGAACATGATCGGAGCAGTCATTTGAGCACATCTTTAAATGCGGAGGGGCGGGAAGGTATTATTTAGCATTTGAAAAAAAAATTGCCGTACAGTGTCCTGAGGTGCGGTGTGGCTTAATCTGTTCTGCTTTAATAGCTTAATAAGAAAACAAAACTTTGTGGAAATGCTATGAATTCTCCAATGTTAATAGTTCATAAACAAGGTATGCATAATACATTATTTTTTCGCTAGAAACAAGGGAATTGAAAATGGTGTCGCCTATAGCAGCTAATCATACTATTATACCTTTAATTTTCTTTGTGCAGTGTAGTTAAATGAAAGAGGAAATATTTTTAGTTCCTATGAGCAAAACCTCAGCTTTATAAATCAACACCAATATCTTCAGTATATAGTACAGCAACCATCACTTTGGGGGCATGCTCCTATGATTATGCAGTATCATCTGAACAGAAATCTAAGCTTTCTTTGTGATTATATATTTACTTATATTGATAACTTGTTTTGTGTTTCTTCTGGGCCTTATGTATAAAAATGCCAGCAAATAAACTATTTCATTTTATGTAATAACATTAGTTGTGCTTTTGCTTTTTTAGGAGTCTCCTTAAATCTGTAGAAGAGGAGCTGCACCAACGGTAATAAATGCTCGTCTTAGACACCAGTGCTCCCCCATTTTTCCCTGCATTCTGTGTATTTCTTTCCCTTTGTTGTTGTTGCCTCTCTGTCTCAGTGTCTTCTGTGCAGATGTATCAGAGCTTTAATTGGTGTGACCTGCATTCCTGCTCCACAGGAAAAGCAAAAGCATAGGCAGTAATACCAAAAAAACCTCTATATTCTGTAGCAAAAAAAACAAAAACTTTTAGGTATTGCATGCCTAGTTCTTTCACTGTAGCTGTAGTCTTATTGGTGAAGAACACTCAGCCATGGTACCTTGTTCATCTCCTTAGGGGACATGTGGCACATTTAGAAGATGATGATGATGATGATGGGGATGATGATGAATCTAAAAAGTAAGTCCTTTTTATATATCAGCTTGTTGGGTCTCTCCTCTATGCAGTTGTTATAAATGGGACTCATCCTGCCCTTAACATGATTGCATTTGGCAGATCATAGAGGTGCACTTTCCTTTTTCCTGTATATCAACCTTCTTCTGAGCTGGACTGATAATATTTTAGCCTCTATTAAAAGACGCATGTATTTCTAGTCTGAAGACAAGAACAAGCTGTCTTTATTTGTATCCCTTGTAATTAGATGGACCTTTTAGGGACAATATTATACTGTATATATCTAGTGTCCCCAATGCCTTGAGTTCTGTATGTCAGCAAAATAAGTGGTGTTTTCTGTAACTTGTGTAGCATCGTTACAGTCTCCCCATATGTCCTTCTCTGTCTTCTGCCTGCTGGCTCTGTTCTGGCTTAGTCTTTGCTATATGGCTTTTTCTGTGCTGTGCTCCAAATGTTTTTTTGTAAAATAATATTAAATCTTATTTACAAAACAGCCTGTATTTCTTAATGCATTCTTGTTTTGTCATACCTTAAGCTACAGGGTTCTTTCTTAGCCAACTGCAGTTTTAGTGTTTCTTATAATGGCACATTATTGGTAACGTTTATTTCAAAACTATAACCTTTTCACAGAACACCATGTTGTGTAACAGTGATGCTAACTTTAAATACGTTATAACACTCACAGCCAAGAGAGTGGATATTGCCTTCTACGGGACTTTATGTAAGTCCAAGTATCTTTTTTATCTTTTCAAGTTAAACTTTAGGCCAAAAGCTAAACATACAGAGGGTAAAAATATGTATGGGAGCTGTCTTCACCCTCAGTCTCCTAGTCTTTAGTGCTTTATATAAGGGAACAGAGGAAGTTTATATAAAGACAAATTAAGGTTTTAACCTGCCTAACTATGTATTTGTATAAGCATAATTTAAAACTACATTAAATAAATTATGCTTAAATCGTGTCCAGATTAAAATATGTTTTACTTAACCACTCTGAAAATGGCACTGGAATAGCGGTTACTTATCACATCTCCTTTTGTAGCCTCAATGACGGTAGGGTATATAGATATTACAGATCGTATACAAGCGCCCCTACCCTTGGGTGGGCGTAACCACTATGCTGTGGAGTGCTTCATGCTATCCATGACTCACACAGGAAGGCAATGTAACTACATACATGCTATGCCGAGGCCGTAGCATAGTCGGCACAAAGAGGAGGGGGAGTAAGGAAAAGGCAGAGAGAGATTTAAGACTGAGGCGGGGAAAGAGTAGGAAGAAGTGGCGTCATAGTAAGGGTTGCCATAGAAGTAAAGTTGGGTAGGCATTCAATCGGGACCCGGCAGGCATAGGGGAGCGCGGTTTTGGCCCTCTGGGGCAAGAGTGTCAGGCTATGTCTGAGGTCTCTTGATTTCTCCGTATTTTTATCCATACGGCGCTGCTTTTTTTTTCTGTGCAAATTCTTATTGTCCCATTAATATTACATTTCAAAATATCGGGAGGCCTGAGAAATTATATCCTTAATTTAAGTTAATCCATTTAATGGTCAAACTTATTTTCACATAATCGTTATGATCAAAGGCAAAAAATTCTGATCCTTTTCTCATGAACTTGGCAGTAGAATAATCCTTTCCAATGTAAACACACTATGTCTCCCCATTAGGCCTCTTAAAGGGTATGTCAACTTTTTTACAAAATGTCAGAAAATGAACTTACCCACAACACTCTGCCACCTCTTCTAGCCCCCGCTGTTCATACCTTTGCTTTGCAAGCGCTAGCAGTTAGTATTAGGCATAATGCTCTCAAATGGCACATGACCACGCTGACCAATAAGAAGTGCTTCTTACTTGGACCTGGTCCCCGGCTCAGAAGCACTTCTCAAGGTATGAACAGCAGGGGCTATGTGCAGAGCAATGTGGGTAAGTGCATTTTCTCACAGTTTGTCAAGCATCATGAGTAAGCAATGGCACATCCTATACATGTAGTAGTCAAATGTGGCTGTCCCTGGGTGCATATTTTTAAAGAATTATGTTTTGTGGTCACATTCACATGTATATCTACAGAACCTTTAAAAACCTTATATTGACTTTAACTAGGATGTAGGAGTAGTGAAAGTCCCTCTGCTATGGGACGTTGAGATGCTATCATGTGATTAGTCATAAAATATGAGGTTTTGGTGGTTTCATTTAAACAAATATATATATTTTAGCTGCTTCTATTAAATTGTATTTTATTATCGATTTCTGTTATTTATCTTCCAGCAGTTTCTTTTGCGCTCTACTAAGTAAATAGTGTTGCTTTAGAAAGATCTAGGTTTGAAATACTAATTTATATTTAGGCATGCGGCTTAGGGTGCTCTTATTCAGAATTCAGCCCTTATGGGTTACAAACAGGCAGCCTGTAGTAAATTAAGTAAATTCGTTTTTGTTATGTGTAATTTTAAAAAACATCTGAGTACCTCGTCTTTTATATTTTACCAAAAATGGGTAATAATAAATGTTTTATCATTTAATATAGGGGAAACTGTTTTGTTTGTTTTTTTTTACATTTCTGTAATTTTTCCTTAAAAGTGTTTATTAAAAACTTCTGCAAGTCACATAGAGCCTGCCTTACTTTCTGGCTGGAGGACATCCAGCACTTATCTCCACAGCCTTACACTCCTTAACCCACTGCTTATACTCAATGGATTTCAGTTCTTTAAATCGTGTAAGCTCAGTATCACATGTAGACATTTTCTAGGGCAGTATGCATGCAAATGCAGACTGCCTAGGAATGCCCACACCTCTAAAATTACATCCACCCATCAGTGCATTTGATTTTTGCATGGATCCTCCCAAAAGCCAGCCCGCTGCTTGCATCAGGGCTGAGGGCTCATCCGATGAGTACTGCAGCAGGGTGTGATGACATTTTCAGGAAGCAATGTACAGCACCCTGACAGCCTGTCCCCCCAGCAATGGTCTTCCTGCATTGCATAGAGAAACACAGAAACCCAGTGATACTGGGTCTAAAATAAGATATGTAGTTAAACTGGAAAGGTTTCTTTAAAGTCATTAGCGTGCTGATGAGTTGGCGAGGGAAGAACTGGGGAAGGCAAAATATAAGCAGACTGAACTTCAATTCAAAATGTTCTCCACTTCCTTTGAGCTAGCTGTAGACTTTAGATGTCAGTCAGACATGTACAGCATCCGACTATTGAACAAATCAGCTTTCCATGTTGATGTCTATAGAGGAGGTAGTGGGGGCAATGTCTGAAGACCATGTGTTATCTCAGGAAGCAGCAGTAGTCAACTGCAAAATCCAACCAATCTCTTTGCTAATTCTTCAGAGAATGATCAGTGAGTATACTTTTTGAGTTGTTGATGTTGTCTGCTGCTATTCGTAGACCTGAGCCTCGCTGCCTCCTTCAGCCAAACTTTATTTTTAGCTAATGTGACCTATTTTGACAAATGTACTAGTTGCCTAATACTTTAAAGCAGTGTATATGTCTGATAATCAGGATGTTGAATTTTTCTGTTGTTGATCCAGTGTTGTAAGGGTCTTTCTTGGTGGGTTTTTTTTTCTTCCTTGTCTTACTTTGTTTGCTCTTCTTTCCCAGTGCTACCATAAAGCCCAAGGTGCCACCACCTTTACCGCCAAAGGTTAGTGCTGTATGTTTAATTGTGATATTTCTGTATTAATGCAGTTTGTTTTAGTCATATATTTAATATCTACAAATTCTTCACTGCATCGCAGACTACATGGACCCTTCACATATATCTTATCTCCTTACAGATTATATTCCTTTTTACAAACACAAACTAGGACACGTTTTGGGTGGAAGAGTATATAAAACTATTGAAATGCCTGCTTGCATGAAATAAATAACTTTTTGATCATAGACAAACACACCTTCTGCTTGATGTTAGAGAAAATGCCCCATCTTATATTATTAGTCTTACAAAACTATGCTATGTTCGACATGCATCTTATGTATTAAGAGGAAGGAAGATCAGTTTCAAGAGAGGATGTTTATAGGACATTCGCCAAATGTGGTGGCTAGTCAGACAAACAAAAATGCTGTGGCGCTTGTATTTGTAGTCAGAGCCCCACTGATACGTACCTGAACATTGAGATGAAGCACCTGCCTAACTTGATCTGAGGTGTGCCGTGGTCACTATGGTCAGTATGCAAATAAGGGGGCATACTCAAAGAGTAAAATGTTATCAGAAGGGGTAAGGGCGGGTGGGGTGTCTCGGACCGACAGGTGAGTAGGGGAAACGGGGGGGTTAAATGTGTGGGGTTCCTCCCACAAATACGGCTAACAAGTTAGCCTAAAACGTATCTCATGTACACCTAGGTTGACATTAGCTATACCGTCCTAAGTGGCTTCTGTTGGTGGTAGAGCATGAACGTCGCATCTAGAATGCGTTTGCACACTAAATAATAAAAAGGACAATTCAATTATAAAACCATACAAGCCACTCTGCGGTCTAGTGAGCTCTTTTTACAGCCTGTTCATCTTCCCCTTCGTCACTTCCCAGCTGCTATTGATGGCAAATTCCATCTGTCAAAATACGCAGCCACTGCTGTGTAAAATATGAATTCCAAGCAGTGTTCGGAAGCTTCATTGAGAAAGACCATGTAACAAAATTATTGTTACATCTTATTTATTGTTTTATTTGCAGACCTTTGATCTGCATACAAGTTCATTAAAGAAACCTTTCAAGTAAAAAAAAAAATAGATAAAATGTGTTTTAACCCCTTATTAACCTCATTCACCCCAATTTACCCATTCCTCCTTTTAGCTATTATTTTTCTGCTTTTTTGTAATTCTTTTCTTTTTGGTTTTGTTCCTCGATTCCTTTAGTCTTGCTCTAAAATGTGAAAGATCTAAATTTAAAAAAAACTAATTTTTTCTATTTGTAAATAACTTCACAATGCTCTGTACCAGAAATGTAATTTTAGTGTCATTGTAAATGTGAATACAATTCATACATATTTTTTTTTTCTTTTAGTTTTTGTAACAGCAGTTGTTTTAAACACTTCTTATATTGTTTTGTCTATAAGTTGCTTAAACAGTTCATATTTGTAAGACAATATTACCAAAAGAAAGCTTTGTTTGTTCTGGAAAAAAATATATATGTATTGCTTAGGGGCATATTTATAAAGCAGTGAGTGTGACTGTGACTGATGGTGACTCAATTACTCATTTAAAACACATGCATTGGGAAGATTCACCTACTGTTAATGTTTAGGGCTTGTTCACACCAAATGCAGACCAGATCTGCATATGTTTCTGCACATGCAGTGGAGTGCGTTTTGATGTGTTCTGTGCTGTTTTTGTACAAAAATAAATATATATATATTTATTTATTTTAGCCTAAAATGGTCATTCAATGTGTTCCAGGGCGTTTGCATACGTTTTGGTGCGTTCCCGAGCAGAAAAAATAGGGCATGCTGCAGTTTTTCTACATGCTCTAGAACAGAACGCTCTGGTGTGAACTAGAGCCTGGAATACCTTGGACACAGTTTTGATCGGTTCTGTAACTGGTCTGCACTTGGTGGGAACTAGCGCTTAGTAAATTTAGCCAAGGTCAGAAAAACAGACCACCATTAAATTATTACAAATAAAAAGATACTAAAAAGGATAGTTAATGGACATCCCCAAAAAGTAGTTTATATATAATCAAAGCACAAGTGAATTTTTTTTTTTAATTATTTTTTACAAAAGGAATTACTACATACAATAGATCAATAAAATAATATACTAAAACAAAATGTGAAGAATATCAAAACACAAACACCATAATAGTAAGGTTAGACTAAAAATTGTTGAAAACATGCACAGACTTGCTATCACTTTAAGATATCTTTTACAGCAGATGTAGCCAAACTTTGGCCCTCCAGCTCCTGTCTTTGGGAGTAATGCCTGTGGCTATAAGTCTTACAATGCCACATGGGACTTGTAGTATAACCACAGCTGGAGAGACAACTGCTGTTGTACAGCAACGTGAATGTTCATATCACAGGTTCCACACATAATAAAAGCATTTGCAAAGGTATTTTTTGCAATTTTTGTGTGTATGTTGATGCATTCGCGCACCAAAATTGTCATTAATAGACCTCTTGCAGTTCTGGGTAAGCAAGTTCAGAAAATGCAATAGGCTTTTTATAAAATAAGGTTAGATCCTTTGGTAGAAACTAACAAATGTTCCTGTCTGGCTATATACCCCATGTCAGATCACTCCCCTGTATAAACACCTTAGTAACCTGATCTAGCTGAATAAGGATATAATAAATGTGAAGAATATAGTGGAATCCTTCAGGGTCTAAAGATTGCATATATGTATGGTAATACCCCTGACATCCAAATTTAAGACCTGTATATGTACCTAATTTGAGTTCATAACCCAGATCTATAAAATGTACGATATAGAAGGGGTTCCATATAGACGAAACTACAGCTCCCCTTTCTCATTTAAGGTGTACTGCATATATGATCCCACGGAAGGGGTTAATCCATTCCTATTCCCCATCCCAGGGTTCACATATTCACAGTTGGTTTACAGACATGCATTACCTCCATAAGAACTAGATTTTACACATATCCTGCAGATACGGACAGGAATGTTTTAAACAGTCATGCAAAAGTAAAATTATTGCTGAGATTATTCCGTTTATTTTTGTGCCTGTTTGTTATTTTGTTGGGATTGTTTTAAATATTTAACACCTTGTACACATTCAAGAGGGGAATTAGAATATATATTTGATTTCACTAATTTGGATTCACTCACTGCCCATTTTCGGGCCACTGAGATACTAAAAAGTGTGTGCATATTCTTATTATTATTATACTTTCACGATTAGGTATTGAAATCACTATTGTTGTTCACCAGATTAAGTTTACACATGCAAAAGTGCTAGACCCACGGGTTATTTATATAAGGATTTTCAACTAGGTTGCATTATTTGTTTTTTGCTTGTTTGTCACAGATTACTCCGAGCTACAATAAGTGAGCCCGGCGCGTCTGTCACACATATATTTATTGATATATTGTGGGGTGGATGAATACACGTTCCACATATCACATGTCTCAATAATTTCTTGGACATTTACACACTGACGTACCGATCACAACATGAGATAGAAAATTACGGTATTTATATAGATGTTTATGTGTTGTTTATGATTTATTCTTTACTCTGGTATTCACATTCACTTAGATCTAGCGCAACTTATTTACTATATTAGATATAGTCAGAACACAATTAGCATTTAAACCCAGGGAAACTCCTGATGAACCATGCCAATTATATAAAGGATGAGCGTCCAAAGGGTTATCAAAGAAGATTGGAGTTAGTGTGAGGTATGGAAAAGAAGCGTTAAGACAAGTGGGGTTGGATGGGTTGACAAGAGGAAAGGTAAAGTAATACACAAAACAAAACAGGGGAGGGCAGTAGGTGGGGTGGGTGGGGGCTGAGTGTGGTGATGGGCAATGATGAGATGAATGAGCGTAGGGGGGGAAGAGGAACTCTACCAATCACCCCCTTTGTGCTAGAGCATCACAACCGCTGTCTGTGCCCTCTGGTGGTCTGATGACTCTTAACACCAAATCCAAGCATACCATGTGGAGCAAAATGTGTCCTACTTGTCATACAGGGATGCGGTCAGGTTTTCGATCAGTATGGTTTTGCGCATCCTATGTGACCACATCTCTACAGTAGGTGGGTTGGATTGTTTTCTTGTGGCTAGGGTACACACACTTGCACTGTTTAAGAGCTGTATCAGTTGGGAGTTTTATTAATTCTACTGTGGAAAGTGAGATGGAGAAGATACGTGGCTGGGCGCACGTCTAAACGTGCATCCACAGGTTTGTGGATGTTTTCTGTGACTTTTAGCCAAAAGGATTGTAGTTGTGCCATTCCCGAAACGTGTGTAGAAGGGTGCCAGGTTTTTCATTACAACACCAAAATACGCTTGAGAAATTAGTAAACAATTTGTGCAGTGGGTACACTATACCATCTGGTCAGAATTTTGCATTCTATTAGCAAAGTGATGCAAGTGTATTATTTTAGCAGCTATTACATCAATGAGAAGGTTACAGTGGTGAAAGAATAAAGGGTAGACCCAGAGAGGGTAAAGCTGTAGCAATAATTCTCATTGTGACCCTAGTCAATGGTTTGGACCAATAAATTAAAGGAAGTTAGGGGTTTATCCATGTTCCCTGTAAAGGAAGATTACAGGTTTCCTTTTATATATGGACCCAGAAATTACAGTTACAACACCAGTCCACCATCCTGGTTAAATAGGGCAGCTCTATAGCAAAGGATGGGGTCTGGCAAACCCAATATGTTGAGCATATACAAGAACATATACATAGCAATGGTGTGTATGGTGTATGCCCACGTACAGCTTAAAAAGAGAACGATGGCCTTTTTGGCCATAGTACTCTTCAGGTTCACAAGAGAACATATACTAATGATCTCCTGTGACCCAAAACTCAGCATATAGCGGGCAATTGCCCGCTATATCTTGACAGCGCAGAGGTGTTGTCACTTACCTTAGGGGGAGCCTGAGATGACGAGGGCGGCCTCTCTTGCTGCTCCAGTCCAAACACCCCTGGATAGTGGGAACATGTGAGGACAAGGAGGGGCATGCGGCTGCGCACAATCCTCTGTGTAGGACGATGCGCATGTGCATGCACAGGTGCCCGTCCAGCAGTCCGGCCACACAGGCTAACTCTGGCTTCTGACTGGGGTGCCACACCCTGGAGGGCTCATCCATGTCTTTATGGACCTTGCTTTGTGCATTGGTGTGCAGTCATGTTTGGAACAGGAAGGGGCCATCCCCAAACTGTTCCCAGCAAGTTGGAGCATGAAATTGTCCTAAATGTCTTGTATGCTGATGCCTTCACTGGAACTAAGGGTCCAAGCCCACCCCCTGAAAAACAACTCCCCACCATAATCCCCCCTTGTGTGTAGAAGGGTGCCAGGTTTTTCATTACAACACCAAAATACGCTTGAGAAATTAGTAAACAATTTGTGCAGTGGGTACACTATACCATCTGGTCAGAATTTTGCATTCTATTAGCAAAGTGATGCAAGTGTATTATTTTAGCAGCTATTACATCAATGAGAAGGTTACAGTGGTGAAAGAATAAAGGGTAGACCCAGAGAGGGTAAAGCTGTAGCAATAATTCTCATTGTGACCCTAGTCAATGGTTTGGACCAATAAATTAAAGGAAGTTAGGGGTTTATCCATGTTCCCTGTAAAGGAAGATTACAGGTTTCCTTTTATATATGGACCCAGAAATTACAGTTACAACACCAGTCCACCATCCTGGTTAAATAGGGCAGCTCTATAGCAAAGGATGGGGTCTGGCAAACCCAATATGTTGAGCATATACAAGAACATATACATAGCAATGGTGTGTATGGTGTATGCCCACGTACAGCTTAAAAAGAGAACGATGGCCTTTTTGGCCATAGTACTCTTCAGGTTCACAAGAGAACATATACTAATGATCTCCTGTGACCCAAAACTCAGCATATAGCGGGCAATTGCCCGCTATATCTTGACAGCGCAGAGGTGTTGTCACTTACCTTAGGGGGAGCCTGAGATGACGAGGGCGGCCTCTCTTGCTGCTCCAGTCCAAACACCCCTGGATAGTGGGAACATGTGAGGACAAGGAGGGGCATGCGGCTGCGCACAATCCTCTGTGTAGGACGATGCGCATGTGCATGCACAGGTGCCCGTCCAGCAGTCCGGCCACACAGGCTAACTCTGGCTTCTGACTGGGGTGCCACACCCTGGAGGGCTCATCCATGTCTTTATGGACCTTGCTTTGTGCATTGGTGTGCAGTCATGTTTGGAACAGGAAGGGGCCATCCCCAAACTGTTCCCAGCAAGTTGGAGCATGAAATTGTCCTAAATGTCTTGTATGCTGATGCCTTCACTGGAACTAAGGGTCCAAGCCCACCCCCTGAAAAACAACTCCCCACCATAATCCCCCCTCCACCAAACTTTACACTTGGCACAATGTCAGGTAAGTACCGTTCTTCTGGCAACCGCCAAACCCAGACACGTCCATCGGATTGCCAGACAGAGAGAAGCGTGATTCATCACTCCAGAGAACACGTCTCCACTTCTCTAGAGTCCAGTGGCGGCGTGCTTTACACCACTGCATCCGACGCTTTGCATTGCACTTGGTGATGATAGGCTTGGATGCTGCTGCTCGGCCATGGAAACCCATTCCATGAAGCTCTCTATACACTGTTGTTGTGCCAATCTGAAGGCCACACAAAGTTTGGAGCTCTGTAGCTATTGACTCTGCAGACAGTTGGCGACTTCTGGGTACTGTGCTCTTCAGCATGCGCTGACCCCGCTCTGTCATTTTACGTGGCCTACTACTCCGTGGTTGAGGTGCTTTTGTTCCCAGTTGCTTCCACTTTGCTATAATACCACTAACAGTTGACCGTGGAATATTTAGTAGCTAGGCAGTTTCACAGATGAACTTATTGCACAGGTGGCAACCTATCACAGTACCACACTTGAATTCACTGAGCTTCTGAGAGTGACCCATTCTTTCACAAATGTGAGCACCTATACAGGACACTTTAGTTTTCAAAACAGGCACGGGAGCTCATACATAGCTCTTCACACCAGCAGCCGCGCTCAACCGCATGGCTGCTGGTGTGCATGTGCATTTTTCTTTTTTGTTAGAGCTTTATTGAAATGTCACAAGTAAGAATTTATAAAGTTCTATGGGCTCACCATATAATATAATATGTAATATAGTGAACCAAACTAACTTGCGCTTATGACACATGTTTATTTATTTAATATTGTTTTCACAATAATATTTTTTTCACATATATGACACATGTTCTTTGAAGATTTTTGTTTATTTATTGAACAAGGTTCATGTATGACACGCCTTTTATGACACCTACTGACACATTTTATAACGTACTATAAGTTTTTACACAAATATTTATTATATATATACACTGTTTCACGATTGCTTGACACGGAGGTGACACCATATGATCCCTACCGTTATCTAATTTCCTGAAGGGCATTTAGCGCTGTACACTTCATTACACCAATATGTAATATAGTACTGTATGCAATACTTTGTTTTTTTGGGGGGTTTTTAGCGCACATCACCGGAATGCTGTGGTGTGAACTGTCACCACCCTTGACAATGCAAACTGCTTTTTCTTGTGTTCAGGCTGCACTAGAACAAAAGACCAGTAGCATCGTGGAGGGGAGGCAGGAGTGTAGCGCCTGCGCTGGTATTCATGAATGTGCAGCAGCTCCTACAAGGCACTGTCACTCAATGGGAGGAGAGGAAGAGTGGGGAGCATCCCAACAATATTGTTGGGATCGCTTCTCAACACAGAGCTTAGCCCCGCCCACAATATATTATACTGAATTGCAAGCTTAGGGTGGATTTTTTTATTACAGGAGTACATTGCAAAATGTGCTCCTGTATCATTAGTATACTAATAAACTAAAAATGGCAAAAAAGGTGTAGTCCTTGCATGCCACCCAGCTTCCTGATTAGCCAGGAAGCTGGCTTCATGCTCCCTCGTCACCAGGTAAAGGAGGAAGCATGGAGCTGGCTTTCTGGCAAATCAGGAAGCCAGGGGGGCGGGTAATGACTCACTTCCTTATTGGCCAGCTTTCCGACTAATCAGGAAGTCGGGCAGCAAGTCATTAGATGCTGTCCGGCTCCCTGATTGGCTGGGAAGACGACTCCATGTTCCTTCCTCACCAGGTGACGAGGAAGCATGGAGCCGGCTTTCTGGTCAATTACACGCCCCTCGGCTTCCTAAAACTGGAAGTTCCGGTATCGAAATCAGTATCGGGAGCATATTTGGGCGAGTACGAGTACTGTTATATATTTTTGAACATACAATACAGACACAGATTTAAAAGTTGTGATATATAACATGTCTTTATTTATCTTAAAATTAAATTAAAAGAAACAATAATATTTTATTGAGTATTTTCAACAAAGGACCAGTAATTATAAATGCATTGATTATAACAACTTGCATATGACACTCTTGATTCTTTCAAGCAGAAGGGCAACTCTAAAATATTTTAAAAAAAACTATGCTGTAATGTCACCTTCCTTTCGCTACAGATCACGCAACATGCTGCCTCTACAGAGTTACTCTGATACTTCCAAATTAAGATCTATTTACAATCAACTCTAAAGCTCACAAACTTTCCCATGACCCTTAATTTATATTCTCCTTGGTAAACAGCCCTCTTCTTAAAAGTGACCCAGCACCACCTACGTATTAAAATAAAACAATTGGGAATGTGATTCCACTAGATCCTAAATAGTGGTCACAGATATAGGATACAGCGGTTTAAGGCTCACAGAACTCATGTTTATTTGAAGCCAATTACAAAATCTTCATGGTTCCTGGGGGGCATAGCCCTATACCTCTATTACACCATCCACTTCTTCCTACTATCCTGTGTGTAGCCCTAAATATTTTACCCTGACTTGTAGTTATTCTTTCTTTTCTCTCTCTCTCATTCTTTTTGACTTGTTGGCGGTCCTGACATTTTGCTACAATTTTTTATTATTTTAATGTGTTTCATTGTGTTTTTTCAGCCTAAATCAATATTCATACCACAAGAATCTAGTGCTCCTGAAGATGACAACCAAGGAACAATAAAGAGATGTCCTATTTCAGAAAGCCCAGCACGACCAGCTTCTTATGTACCTCCTAGACCACCACCTCCCCGGTTACCTCCCCAAAAGTCAAGTGTTTTAGGTATTTATAAATTGTAATATACTTCAAAATAATTGTCCTGGCAAAGGACAAATATTGTAAAAATATTGTACTCTAATTACGATATGTGGTTAATATATGTAATGTGAATGAAAGAATTCCTCATCTGACTCCTAGGGTTCAGTACAGGAGGGGCTCTCATTCTGCCACCATCTCTTCCACCAACTCACTATGTTGGTCCTCACTGACCTAGAACTGGGACTGCTTTAATCAATTTGAGCTAAGTTCACAAGCATGGGGTCAATAAAAGAAAATGCCCAAGCCTGCTAAAACCTTCCCTGTACACTTGTTTTGTATGGTGGCTTCACCCTGAAAAACTTTATGCGCCCCCGCCCCCAAGCTTTACCCTATAGAAGAGAGATTTCTGGAAAAAGTGGGCAATCCCTGTTGTAGACCCCGCAGTTTTCTGACTTAAGACTGACAGACCCTTTGAGGATGTTCCTGTCGTTAACCATTTGCCCATTGTAAAAACATGAGCGGACGGCAACCTCTTCCCAACACGTGGACGAACATGTATGTGATTTTTTTTTTTTCCTGCTCCCCAGAACCCTGCTGGGAATGTAAACTGCCGTTACCAGGTGTTACGTACAAGCGTTCCGCCGGCTCTACAGCCGGCCCATCACTTGTATAACAACCAGAAACATGTGCCCCCTCCACTGCCCCGCTACCTGCCCCTCCCTCCCTCAACACCGCTGCCGGTTATCCCTGGCTACGATGTCCCCCACTGCTGATCTCTCCTCCTCTCTCTCTCTCTAAAGGCGGAAGCAATGTGTATTACATCACTTCCGCCTTTAGCTGTCATTTCTCTGGCTGCTATAGCCAGAGGAGAATCTGGTGAAGCAGATCTCTGCTTCTTTGAGGGTCCCAAGGTGACAGTAGGCGTCTTGGAGACCCCTGATGTCTCCATAAAGAGGACCTGTCATTGAATATTGGTTGTTATGTAGGGGGCTTGTTAGTCCCCTAACTTATAGCAATCAAGTTAAGTTAAAAAAAAAAATTAGGTGCCCTACACCCGCGTGCATGCACATATTTTGCTCTATCCGGTCCATCTATGCAACCTGCTGTTGCAACAATGGCAGTTTGTCAGACACTTGCTGTTTGAACTAAGCGCATGACCCAGGATCCTGCTTCCATTATCACGTGTTCATCTGTCCTTCAGCAGCTGGAACTCCTGCCCATGTCCTTTTGCTAATGCATGGAGACATGCTTCACAGATATCCAGAATGAGCCTTTTATCTATCCATGGCTTTTCAGTGAATCCTTAGACATTTTTATCAAGGAATCACATTTTTATCATAGTATCTCATACTATATCCACAACTTATGAATGGACAGGAATACAGGGGCTGCAGAAAAAGAGATTCATGACTCTTGTGTCCTCAATCTCTTTATCTATTTCAAAAGGGGAATATCAGGGGTTTGTTTAGACCCCTAATATTTCCCCAGAGCCCCCAACAGTAAAGTTAAAAAAAAAATTAAATATTTATAAGGTTAGAAAAAAAGACAAAAGAGTTTTATTTTTGGTTGCGGCCTGAAAATTCAATTTCCGTGCACCTTTTACTTTATATATATCATCATCTACAGTACATAACATCATCAAAAGATTCAGATTTGCGCCAGGCCGAAACGCAATATTGGATGCCCCAGATCTTCAGGTACTCAGATTGCACTACATTAAAAAAAGGCATGATTCTGTGATGGACATCACTGCATGGGCTCAGGAATACTTCCAACAATCTTTTGTCTGTGAACACAGTTCGCCATGCCACGTGTTTAGCTCAATTTAAGTGTAAACCTAATTGATGGTCCTACAACTATACCACTGCCTGTGGCAGGTGTAAAAGATGCCTAATATGTGTTGCTCAATAGACACTTCTATGCGTACATGCAAAATTAATCGTCTATAAATTTACATCTGCTGACAAAAGGTAAAAAAGAAAAGCATGACATTGACCATGTCATATCTGCTCAACTGATAGTTGACCTTGAGGAGGAAAAAGGTAAATGCCATTTGTTTTCTACTGTTGTGTTTTTATATAATCTAAACCAGAATATTGCAGAGCTGTAATCTTTGGTAATATCAGAATGTGCATTGAGTTGGAACAGTAAAATGTTTTGTCATTTCTACTTTTCCACAGGAAATGGAGTGGGCTCAATCCAAGTCAATGGGGATCGGGAAAATGTGTTACTTTCTCTGCAGCTTGATAATCGGACTTCCAAGTCATTGAGTGTGCCTACACGGAAAGAAAAAAAAGATTTGCCGGTTAGTGTAAATAATTTTTTTCCCATAATTCATTAAAGGACACAACAAACCTATGGATATATGCTCTGCCTCTAGGAGGTTTGAAACTAGGCAAATCAAAAGGCACAGTTAATCCGAGTAGCTATATTCCCTACACATAACAAGTTAGCCCAATTTAGCTTACTGTTCATCTCTTCTGGATGAAGTTGAATCACTGCAGTAGCAGCTTGGTTCTTTGACCCCCAGATCTAAATATATACTGCAGCAGCCACCTTGTTGCTCATTGTCATACCAGGCCCCCAGATAGGGAGATTATCTGAAGCATTTACTCTTCCTAAAATGATAAGTAGGCTGTGTGTGTGTGGGGTTCTGTGTCACTATTATGCATAACTAACCTTCTGCTTCAACTCAAAAAGCTCTCTTTCCCTTTACTATGTTGCCTGTTTACCGAGCATTAAAGAGGTGCTGCTTTAGCCTGGTTGCTCACGTTACAGCTGCAAGGACTCTAGTGCAGGCTCTAGTGTAGAGGTCTCTTAAATAGTACCACCTTCTGTTTCCTTGATAACTGCTTCCCTAAAGGATAACTATGGGGTCAGTGTTTCCCCCCATAGTTCTCCTAAGGGTCACAGGAGGACATAAACTAGCATCCTCCTGTGACCCAAAGCTCAGTATATCGCAAGCTACAGCTCGCGGTATACTGAGACCGCCGCAGCCGGGACGGATCCCGACATTACTGTCGAGATCCACCCAGCTGCGTGATTGACAGCTGGCTCTGCCAATCTAGAGGCAGAGCCAGCTGAACCCTCCCCCGTCCGTTCCGCCAGTCAGCACTGGGTCAGCTCAAACTATGAGGATGAGTGATTTTCACTCACCTCATAGTTCTCCTTTAAATCTGATTATTATTATACAGGATTTATAATAATATAAATCCTGTATATAACAGTTTGCGCAGCGCTTTACAATATAAGGAAGACATTACAATTACAGTACAATTTAAGACAAGATGGTAAGGAGGGTCCTGCCCATGAGGGCTAACACTCTAAAAGGGAGGGGCAAGTGATACATAAGGAGGTAGGTGTGACGGGACGAATTGTTTGAGAACGTCATGTTTCAGTGGTTAGTTTGAGGTGGTATAGGCTTCCCTGAAGAGATGAGTCTTTAGGGATCGCCTAAAGGCAGTCAGAGTAGCAGAAAGACAGACAGGCTGGGGTAAAAAGTTCCAGAGGATGGGAGAGACTCTAGAGAAGTCCTGGAGGCGAGCATGGAAGGAGCTGACAAGGGAGCTGTAAAGCAGAAGGTCTTTAGAAGAGTGGAGGGGACGGTTAGGCTGATACTTTGAGACAAGGTTTAAGATATATCCAGGGGCAGAGTTCTGGATGGCTGTGTAAGTGGTTGTTAATATTTTGAATTTTATCCTTTGGGTGATTGGAAGCTAGTGGAAGGATTGGCAGAGGGGGGTTGCAGACACAAAGCCGTTGGTAAGGTGGATGAGTCTAGCAGCAGCATTCGTGATAGACTAAAGGCAGGGTAAGCCTTTGTGGAGGTGGGCCAATGAGGAGGGAGTGGCAATAGTGAAGACGGGAGAGAACAAGTGAGTGGATGAATATGTCAGTTAGTAGATTAGTGACATGCAAGGACACTGAGGGGGGTGAGTTGTGGAGTAGAAAGATAGATTTGAGTGTCATCGGCATACAGATGGTATTGGAAGCCATGTGAGGTTATTACCTGACCAAGGGAGGAAGTGTAAATAGAGAAGAAAAGGGATCCAAGGGCAGAGCCTTGGGGGACCCTTCAGAAAGAGGAAGGGAGGAGTTAGATTTGTAGGTAACACTAAGGAAGCGTTTAGATAGTTAGGACGAGAACCATGAGAGGGCAGAGTCTTGTAGACCAAGCGAGTGGAGTTTTTTGAGGAGAAGTGGTCAACAGTGTCAAAAGCAGCAGAAAGGTCTAAAAGAAAGTGTAAGGAGTAGTGGCCATTGTTTTTAGCAGTTAGTAAGTCAGTGAGTTTTAGGAGGGCGGTTTCAGTGGCGTGTAGGGGGCAAAAGCCAAACTGTAGGGGTCGAAAAGGTTGTTATGAGTGAGGTGGCAGCTCAAGCGGCTGTAGATAAGGCGTTCTAGGAGTTTGGAGGTAAATGGGAGTAAGGAGATTGGTCTGAGATTAATGTTTGTAGGGTCCAGTGAGGGGTTTTTGGGTATTGGGGTGACCAGCACATGCTTTATTAGGGAGGAAAAGATGCCAGTACAGAGGGAAAGATTGAAAATGTGAGTAAGAGAGTGTAGGATAGAGTAAGAGGTTGACCGAAGTAGTGGTGAGGGAACAGGGTCCAGGGGACAAGTGGTAAGGTAGGTGTCAGAGAAAAGCTTTGTAACCTCCTCCGTGGTGACAGGGTCAAAAGAGGAAAGTAACAAGTGTTATGGTGGGTCTGGTACATTAATAGGGGAAGGTGACTGGCCAGTGGCGATCTGATCCCGAATTGTATCTATTTTGTTTTTGAAATGAATGGCAATGTCCTGGACAGTCAGTCAGTGGGTGGTGGACATAGTAGAGAGTTAAAAGTAGAAAAGAGTTGACGAGGTTTGGATGAGAGTGGGTTAATGAGAGTGACAAAATAAGTCTGTTTGGCAGCATGGAGGGAGGAATTATATTTTAAGAGGGCAGCTACAGGGTGAAGTCATGCAGAGACCTAGTTTTCCGCCACAGTCGCTCAAGAGCGCGGCCATGTCTTTTTAGATGTCTGGTTTCGTCTGTTTGCCCCGGTTGTAGTGGACGTGGACTAAGTCTGAGTGTAGTGAGGGGAGCCAATGTGTCTAGGGAGGATGAGAGCAAGCTGTTGAAGACAGAAGTAGCCAGGACAGGGGTGAGATTATGTCATAGAGGAAGTGAGTAGCAGAGTGGAGAAGAGAAGGGTTGAGGTGGCGAAGGTTTCTCCGGGTGACGGTGTGCTGTGTAGGGGGATTCAGGGTTGGGGACAAGGTGAATGTGAAACTGACAAGGTTGGGGTCTGAGAGGGGAAAAGGAGTGTTGGAGAGGTTGCAAGGAGTGCATAGGTGAGAGAACACAAGATGTAGTATGTTACCATCAGAGTGAGGAGGAGTATGTGCCCATTGTGTTAGATCAAAAGAAGAGGTTATGTTAAGAAATTGAGTGGATGCTGGGGTGTTATTGTTGTTAGCAATGTTAAAGTCACCAAAAATGATTGTGGGTATTTATGAGAAGAGAAAGTAGGGTAGCCAGGCAGAGAAGTAATCAAGAAAGCCAGATACCGGACCAAGCGGTCGGTATTTTACAGAAATCCTCAGAGAAATTGGAGAGAATAGGCGATTACAGTGGGTTTCAAAAGGGGAGAGGGATAGAGAGGAAGTGAAGGCAGAACTTGAAAAGTGCATTGTGGTGATAGAAGGATTCCCACTTCACCTCCTTTCTGTCCACTGGGTCTGGGTGAGTCCAGTGGAGGCCACCATGGGAGTTAATGTCAGATTCTTGAAGCCAGGTTTCAGTAACTGCAAGCTTGTTAAAGGTATGGGAGATAAAAAAGATTGTGCACAGCAGTGAGTTTGTTACAGACAGAGCGGGCATTCCAGAGTTCACATGAGAAGGAAGCACTGTTTCTAGGAAGCAGGGGAATAGAAATCAGGGTGCGTGGATTGTGGCTGCTGCCAGAGGAAAGTAGTGCTGGTTTGGAGGGTGAATATTAGAAAACAGAGGGCCATGATTGGCAGAGATATCCCCTGAAGTCAGGAGAAGTAGAAGGGTGAGTAAAGTGAGATGAGATTGAGTTTTATATGAGCGCATATGCCCCAGGGTCCTTGAGGTAACCCTGGCATGTGGATTCAAAATGAGCAGGAGGTGATGAGTGCAGTAATAGGGAGGGGACAGGAGAGAGAGTGAAATATATAATCTGTTGGGTGGAGAGTGTGGGGTAAAGGAAATGGAGTTTAAGAAGAGAAGCCACAATTGTGAGAAGCAATGGAAGGAAACGCATGTTAACAAAGAGTAGAAATCAGATATTAAAACAGAGAGATATGGATGGGGTAAACATGATTACCTGGAGTCTGTCAAGAGCACTGCTTGCTATATAATAGTACCTTTTTTTAAGTGCATGTTTTTTAAACACATGTTAAAACATGGACACTTTGTATAACATGGACATTGCAAAGTGCCTATGCCCAGGGCCGGATTAAGAGCATTATGGGCCTGGTGCTGCGGATTTTTGTGGGCCATTTTATGGAAATGGCGACGGTCACCGGGGCCCTCTTCCTCCTGACCAGGCTGTGATTTGTAGTCTCTCTACAGCTTGGAGTCAGTGGTGGGTCGCCTGGTCCCGGTTGCAGCTGCGACAATGGTAGATCTGCCACTGACTCTAAGCTGTAGAGAGACTAGAAATCTTAGCAGTACATTATACAGCAATGCAGATTACCGCCAACTATAGAGGACTACTAATCCCAGTAATACATTACACAGAAATTCAGAATATCACCAGCTACAGAGGACTACAAATTCCAACAATAAATTATACAGCAAATCAGAATATTACCACTAACTATAGAGGACTACAAATCCCAGTTATACTGTGTAAAGCACTGCAGAATAATATGAAGCTACATACTCTTGTGTTCGCGGTCTGATGTCTCCAGGGTCACAGGAGAGTTGTGCAGGGTTTTGGCAGGGCTGTGCAGGCTCTCATGAGGCTGTTCAGGTTCTTAGGTGGCCAGTTCAGCTCTATGAGGGCCAGTGCGGGGTCTCAGGCGGTCAGTGCGGGCTCTAGGGGGGGTCAGTGTGGGCTCCAGAGGGCTCGGAGAGATTAACGACTGCAGCCGCAACAGATGTGGCTCTCTGCTCAGGCACATCAGAGGGCTGCATGATCAGCCCGGCCGCAATTCAGGACAGCTCGGGTTTATTATTTGCGGGGGAGGGCCTGGAGCGGGAGCGCCACCCGTCCCTATGTTAATCCGGCCTTGCCTATGCCCCCTGGCAAATGTGCCTTTCCCCCTAAGCACATCCACATTTATAGGACTATGGG